AGGCGAGGGGGGTCGCGTCTGGCGAGCGGCCCCGAGCGCGGCTGCAGCTCCCCAGGCCTGTCGCCGGTGGGAAGGATCTGGGTGCCATAGAGGTCCCCCCGAGCCGCCGTGCGATATTTGCCTCTGGAGGGAAGGGATGGGGGGGTCCTGATTTCTCTGGAGCCGTCTTCAGTCGTCTGGGTTGTTTGGTTGCTTTTTGAAAACCTGGAGGAGCAGCGCTGCCACAAGTAAACTAAACGTTAATAGTCCTGGATGATGAGGAAAAAGCTGGCTTTTTGGAAGCATTTTATTGTAAACAAAAATTACTTGAAAGCTACTATTACTCTTATTACTCGCTAAGTAATAGGGTTAGTAACGAGTGGTGGAGACTTTAGCATGGCTTAGAATTTCGAGAGAGGAGTTGTAGTCTAGGCAGGTAAAGACTGTTGGAAGCAGCATTCTAAGCCGTATAAATGCTATGATGATTCAAACCTGAGTAAGCTTTTTGCTTTGTATTTTCAATAGAACATGTTAGTGTCAATGTTGATGTGAGCGTGCCTCAATAGGAATCTGTCTGATTTTGTTGTTACAGTAAGGATCATCTCCTTTAATAAGGAAATCTGTGTCTTAGCAGACCCTTAAAAAGAGATCATTCCTGTAATTTATATTTTTTTTAAATCCTCAGTATGTGGTGTGGGAACCTTCTATCTTTGACAGTATGCATCCACTTAAGAGAAAATTAGTGGAATGCAGAAATTGTCAACTGTCCTTTCAAAGCTTACAGTTGTCACAGTTTTGGGGCTTGAAGGGATTGCTTCTGTAGCTTTTATATTGTTAGGTTGTTTGTAATCCTATTGATGTCCAAATGGATTATAGGAATGAAAGTGTAACAGATGTCCCCTGCCTATTACAACTGTGTCATATAATAATATCTTGCTCTATAAAATCTGAATCGTTTCCCTAATGACAAGAGAGAGACAATGGGTTTGTTTCTTCATTTGAGTCTGTGGCAGCTTTAAGATTTGAGAAGTTTGGGAAACTTTTTAATGAAAATGTAAGGCTAGAACATCTTAAACAGAACAAAAAAAGTCTGCATGTGCCACCAACCTGTATTTGAACATTGAACTGTTGAAGTTGTTTCTGGAAGTTACAAGAGACTGAATGCTGAGAACCAAGAAGAGGAAACGTGATTCAGAATCTTTCCAGTGTGGTTAGGTTCTCCATTTTGGAGAAAGCATGCTAAAGATGTAATTTTTTTGCCATCTGGATAAGCAGATACTTCAGTGTTAAATAAATATGTTATGCTTTCTTGACAACAAAGACTAATCCTAGAAATTAAATCGATTTTGCTTGATTTATTTAGTTGAAACTCCAGTAAGAAAGCAAATCATAAACTCTTGCAAGTCACCGCCTACGACATTAAAAAATGTCTCCTTACAGAAGACAGAGTGACTAGGTAGATATCACTGTTGACTTGACAATGCTTTGTAGTATAGGGCTTCATAAAAGCAAACTTTAGTAATTTTATATAAAAACACACATTTTGGTGTATATAAATAATTGTACTCTATTGAGCTTGGTTTACATAGGCATAGAATAAAGTTAAGGCAATGTAAGAGCAAATATTTTTGTAATCAAAAGAGCAAAATTGTTTTTAAGCTGTCATCCTGTATCATTAAGATTTTAAAAATTATTTTTATAGTGCTGTGTATTCTTTATTTCCATGATGAGGTGAAAAAAATCCTACCTTCATCCAAAAGGAAATGCACAAACTGAATCTTTAACTGTAGTACAAATAAGTTTATACCAGTGACAAAGTTTAATAGACCTACCTTGTGCTCATTTTCCAAGGTAAGTTTAGAGAGACCAATATTAGCATGTCCCAGTGTTTTCTGACTTTAATGTGAAAAACTCTCAAAATAACATTGGAAACTTAAAAGCTGCAACAAAAGTTCTTACTGATTGCTGCCTGGTCATTTTCATTGCGTGGTTTGTGTGATGTGATGCTAATACAGAGGGCTGGAAGGGGAAAAGAGTAAGCCTATTACGAGTAGATTTACTACAGAGCTTGCTATGCCAGGGTCTAGATTTCCATTGTGGGCATTTCAGAAAGCTTAGAGCAACTGGTCTGTGGCTTTAAGAACACACTACAGATGTCTAATTAAAAGCTGTAGGGTTACTTTAATACAGAATTACTGAGCTCACTGTATGGCAGGTGATGTGTAACACTTGTCAGGATCAGAAATGTTCTTAACTGTAGCTTTTCTGAGGAAGAGTGTTATATTGCAAGGGTACAACTTACCTCATGTTCCTAGTAAAAAAGGTTTCTTGGAGTGGCACTGCATTGACTGAATGCAGTAGTACCTATGAAATTCTGTTTATTTACTTGTTGTAAGCAGACATATTTAGCATTCATTATCATTAAAGTTTATAGAGCCAGTTCTGGCTTTCTCAGACTGCTTGGAAGAAGGTATCATGGTGCCTTTACATCAGATTCTGTGCAGTAAACCGGAAGCTGCGTTTTTTGGGGGTTTTTTTTAGTTTTTATTTTAACTCCTGGAAGAGGCAGAGCTCTTTGGCCCCATTAAGAAATTTTTTTACTGTCCATAAAACTTCATATTTAATTTTTATTCCTTCCCCTTATGAATAATGACTGTGCCTCTCTCTCCTACTTCAGCAGGAAAAGGTGAAGCTGTTCTTATATGGTTTCTGTGCAATCTGCCAAACACCACAGAAACTTGAGAGTAGCCATCTTCTGTGCTCTGCTGCCACTTTCGGAAGCCATTCACTCCATCTATTTGTAGATGTGGAAAATACCAAATTGACTATGTCCTTCCTATTGTTTGTCATGCACCTGGAGAATAAATGCTACACACTCTAGTAAAAGTATGTGTGCATTCATTTGAGGAGGTTTCATATTTGGTCTGAATGAAAGAACTTTCTGGGCTATGACTGTTTAGTGCTTATTTGCACTTAGATTGTGTAAAGACTTTATACTTTTAGCTGGTACTCATGTTGGTTTGTGTACGTGTGTGGTCAAATAGCAAAATATAGCTGTAGGATTCTTCAGGCCTCATAGAGAAAATTGTTTAGTTTCTTTCTAAAGAGAAGCTTACAGAAAACATTGGGAAACAGAGTTTTTCATTGGCCAAAGATATTCTAAGCAGAGATATCTTTATAATATGTAACTGAGGACTTTGGCTAATATAGTGTTGTAAGATTGAGTGATAACAATTTCATTAGTACTGTTTGAAGCATGAAACTGAATTATCCTTTGCACTACCATGTTTAAGGAGTACTTTTCGTTTTGACAGTCTAAGCAAAACATTTTCTACGTTTGGTATATCTTAACACCCTCATATGTGTGTGAAAAAAGATTTATTTAAGTATTGGGATTTTAAGGTCCTCAGGCAAGAAAAGCATTCAGTAATCAGTACTGCTACTGACAGCATTACTTCTGCCTTGTTGCGTCATGCCTGGCAGCTTTAAGATGAGGGTAAAAAAGATGGCAAATAATAAATTGCACAATTTTGAATTAATTCATTTTGTCAGTGGTTGTTTAATATATTACCCATAAAGTTAGAAACTTTGGGCTGTGGTTGTCTTTTTAAAATGAAACATTTCTGAATACTGTAGATTTTTTTTTTTTCTTTCTGTTGCTTTCTTTGATATATCCAAAAATGGTCACGTGGATTTTGGATGAAATTCAATGATTCATCTATGGGCAGAAAATAAATATGGAAAGCTTACACTGAAAAGAAGGGTATTAAAATTAAGGAATGTATTTCTCCTGGAATGTATCAAATTGCAAGTTTTCAAATGTATTTCTAAATGTTATTGCTTACATGATCAGATGATCAGACAGCATTTTGAACAGTCATGTGGATGAATTTTTCCAGAGGCTTTTTAATGGACATGAACTAGTTTATTAGTTCAGAGAAACAGCTGAAGTTTTTTTTAAACTAAATATTAAAACTTCTGTTTCTTGAATAGTTGGGAGGGGTTAAGAATGTAGTTTTCAATTTAAGGTATATATGTAATAGCTAAGAAGCAAAGCAAGGTACAGAATTTAAAAAGTTAGTTGGCTGCGAACTTTTTTGATACACATCCAATACTAGATGCATCAAATATGTTTTCTAACTTTACTGCTAGATAGGCTTTGGAGAAACCAAAGAGAGGCACAAGAACTGAGTTGTTTTCAAGATTAAATACCAGTTCTTTGCTATCCCTGTGGAATATACCAATAATTTGGACTTTGTTGAGAAGAACCTTTAGATAAGAGTTCCTAGACACAGACTTGTAAAATACACTTCATTTTCAGAATGCTGAGGGAAATATACTGTATATTAGATATGAGAAGTCCAGTTCAAAGCTGGTTGTTGCAGGAGAAGAGGGGTTAGGTGACCTGATCTTTCAATTTCTATTTATAGTTACTTTGAAGAAGTTGGCATGCTTGCTAACTACAGTAAGCAGTACTATGTTATGCACTGATGAAATCATGCGGAGGGTGGTTTGTAAGCATAATACAATGTGGCAAGGCTTAAGTGCCTGTAACAGTTAAATTGAGGATCAGATCAAATATTTGAAGGAATAGGCCACACTAAGTTGTGATATGGCTTTTGTTTCACTTGAAAGCAATTAGGTTTGTGATGCAGAGTTAAAGTAACTTTTGGGTTTTTAGTAACAAAGGAATAACTAATGGTAACAGAGCTTGAAATTTATTTTGAAAGAATTGGAGGAATTAAAGCAACTTTGAAGTAGCTGTTTATGCTTATTTAGTTTTCAGTCATTAATTTATCTGAGTCATTCTGAACGTGAACCAGTGACATTTGGGTGGACTCTGTAAATTACTATTCTTAACAATTGTTTTTCACCCAGTGAAATTAATGGCTCACAGTAGTATAATACATGCATATTTTCATCTTTTCTGCAATTAAGCAGAGTTACTTCAGTCACAGCTTTTTGTTAGAAGTAAATGACTCTTAAATTACTACATTTCTGTATGGGGAATATGTAGGCTAAGGTGTATGCCTTTGCTGTCAAAGGTATCATTACTCATGTAATGATTGTCCAGAGTTTTAATTTTATATGTTGAATAATACATGCTCATTTTCTTTCCTTAATTCTGTGAGGGGGACATGATAGACTAATGTAACGCCTGTAATCAAGTCTGTCTGAAAAGAACAATGGGGTATCGTGCTTAGTCATGCTTCATGTTTGATTTCTAATTTCTGCTCTACTATGAAGTTTAACTTGTGAAGGAAGTGAGCTGGGAGGGATATGCATAGAAGTTGCAGATGTTTGGTCAATGTAAAAATTATTTTTAAAAATTAGTCCTCTTGCTGAACTGCTACAAAGTGGTAATTGTTTTAATTTAATTAGATAATTTATGGCATGTACAACTGTAGCTGTTCTGAATCGGTTTTCAGAACAGCTACAGGTAATTTTTTAAAAGCTGGTAAATTTCAGAAATTTACCTTTTGTTATAAAATTCCTGGATTGTATAGGAGTGAGATGAAATGAGAAGACCTCTTTACTTTTTCATTTCTGTGTTTGGTAAATACAGTATTGCAGTAGATACTTTGAACACCAATCCACAATTTGGTCTGCTCTATTCAGTAGTCTTACAAGCATTTTTCCGTTAACAAGTAATTGCATTTCAGTAGTAATGTAATTTGATCTTTACTACATCTGCTTTCTCTAATTTTTTTATTATTTATGCTCATTGTTTACACAGCCTAATGGACGGTCTTTCCTTGATGTATCTGAAGATGAAGTAATACAAACTGTCCGTAAGGACAACATAAAGCAGCCTGTGGACACAGAAAAGAAGAATGAAAAGGTTAGTTATGGATACAAAGCAACAATGTTGAAGTTTGATGTATATTATTTCAGTATCTAATAACTCTGTTTTTGGGTTGAAATCTTGTTACTTATATGAATGAAGAGGCAGATTTCTTACTGTTTAGAGTACTAATCTAATTTGAAGTTGGAAAGAGCTAAAGTAGTATTTTCTTAACTTCTGAGACATCAGAACTTGTCTTATCACAGAATGTTTGTCAAGGAAGCCCCACTCCCAGCTCCCCACTAAACACTGATATCTCTGTTCATCATGTGACACAGTGTTAAGCTTACAGAAATAAAGTTTGTTTCATCTTGATGGCTTCTATGGGGATTCAGCATAATGATAGTATTGTTTAGTGCCTTGTAAATGGTCTACCAATTGGGCAACCACTATTCAAAGGATTAAGACCATGTGCCTGATTATTTCTTTTGCCAGATGTATCTATTAGTAATTAGAGTTCTTGATTTTTGATGATAAATGTCAGCTTTGAAGTCTGGTGTGAACTTTTTGTTATGCAAATTAAACAGCTACATTAAAAATATCTTTTTAAACATGAATCTGCAATGTCTAATCTAAAAGGTAACTGTATTACTGGCAGTGTTATTTTTTGAATAACACTAAGGAGGACTAATCTTGTTTTATCATATATGCTGTCATTTATGGGCAACATGGATATGCTTGGGACTTTTGATAATTTTTTCATTTGGCTCTTTAGCTAACACTGTGCATGAAGTTTTCCTACTGTCCTTGTTTTCTGACTTACTTTCTTCAATAAAATGCTTTTGCTGTAGCTATACTGAGGAAAAATAAAAGATTACATATAAGTAGTCAGAAACACTTTGCTGTGAGGGTGGTGAGAAACTGGAACAGGTTGCCCAGGGAGGTTGGGGATGCCTCATCCCTGGAAGTGTTCAAGCTTAGGCTGGATGGGGTTTTGAGTAACCTGGTCTGTTGAAAGTTGTCCCTGTCCATGGCTGGGGTTGTAACTAGATAATCCTTAAGGTCCCTTCTAACCCAAGCCATTCCATGATTGTTGTCATTTCTTTAGCTCATTCAAGCTTTAATAAATATACTTGACTACCCTCCAGTAACTTCTTTTGCAGTTAGTATTTTGTATCCTTTTAGTTTGCTGTAGGACTTTAAGTGTTTTTGCCATTGGCAAATTGAGTGACTTCTCTGTAAAATTGTTTGCCTTAAAGTTCCATGCTGTGTGGCTCTTTCTCTTCCCCATGTTTTGCATGTCAGATTGACTTTCTTGGGTTTTTTTCTCCCAAGAACGTAACACAGTTTTAACCTGAATGAATAACTCTATCTGCAGGTTTTCAAGTAGATAATGTGTTTAAATCCTAAACTCAACTTCACCTTAAAATTGCAAGCAGAATGGTCTGAATTTTAAAATGTGAAGCTGAAGCTGCAGCTCTAGGAAACGAATACCACTGCAGGGATGTGGATGATTATTCAAATTGTGTTTTCATATCATTTTGGGGGACCCTGGGCAAAAAATGATTGGGTCAGGGGTAAATAGTTACTCTTCAATTAGAAGTATACTTAAGAACAACCTTAAGAACTACAGTATCTGTACAGGCTTCTAATTATTTAGTAAGGCTTCTCAGTGCATCTGTAACATTTGTAACATTATAAACCTACTCAGGTTGTAACGGGTCCTGTGTGTCTTTGGGCACCATCTTTGGGATGAATGGTATAAGACAATGGCTGTGATTGAAGTTGTATGTGTATGTGTGTACATATATGAATACATATAATCTATGGCCTGAAGGATGTGGTTATTTTTTATGCTTCATTATATGCTTTCAGTGAAAATCACACATTTTTTGTGTTTCTGTATTTCTTGGCTGCTTCAGGGTTGTGAATTTCCTGTATGTTTTTCTGCTTTGTGGGAGGGAAAGCTTTGGGTAATGTCTGGACTCTGGCTGTTCACAGGGCTTATGATTCTGCAATTAGTAACTTGCCATAGTATAGGGGTTTTTTTAATGTTTAGTGTAAGAGACTGTTACTTAAGAAGTGACTGTGTGGATGAGACTGTGGGAAGTTAAAGTGTCATCATCCATTCTGTTTGCAAGCACATAGCTGCATTGTCTTGAATATTAGAAATAATTCCTCAACTAGGGATCAAGAAGAAAGGTTTATTTTTCTATTGTTCTTGCATGGAGCACAATGCATCTAAAAGACTTAAAAAATTTTGGCAGGCTTGCAGTGTTCCTCATGTGCTCTTTGGCTGTTGGCAGAGCCAACACTGGCATCTTTGTGTGTTGCAGAAGGTGACATTCTGAATGCATGGACTTCTGCAAAATGACCGGCTGGCTTGCTCCAGCTTTAGCATCTCTTGTCAGTTTGGTACTGAGATAGCAACTGGTACAGTACAAAGTTTAGCAGGTGGTGGGTTATTTGGATAAAAAAATAATGGTTCTGGTTTTTCAGAATAGGGTAACACAGTTTAGGAAAGTAAAACACATTTTCAGGATTTGCGTTCTTGATCTTTTTAAAAACAGTATTTGTTAATCACAAACTTCTTTTTTGGCTGTTAAACTTTGATGTTTTCCTGAAAAGTGTAAAATTTGATGGCAGTACTTCATAGGAGCTAGTTATTTAAGGAAACTGAAGTTAAAATTTGGAAATCATCTTGAACTGTTGTCTGGGAGACTTCTGAAGTAATTTCAGGTGTTCTCTTAGTGCCAGAGGACAGTTGGGTAGTTATGGCTTTGCAGATGGAAACTCTTTAAGATCTCAAGTTCTAGTCTCAGTGTAACTGCAAATGGAAGACAAAGGTACAAACTTACTAATCTTTCTATGGTTGAGCTTGAAGAGGCAATTTGTAACTAATTTTAATGCTAATTTTCACTTTCCTTTTTAATTATTTCCTTAGAAGTTGCCCTAGAAAATAATTTGACTTGTTCATGTTTTTAGAGCCAATTCTTTTCAGGTTGCTTTTGAAACCAGCCCTTCTCTTTTGGAGGCTTTTCAGAAATTAGTTAGCTGGTGTGTGGGTAGTCTGCTGAGCAAATGAGAATTCAGTTTGGCTGCATCTGTAGTTTGGGTCCCCTAGTACATTAAACCATGAGTTAACTGTTCAGATCAGTTACCTAAATGTTAAAGGTGTGGTGATGCAGCATTGCATATAAGCAGTGAATTTTTTATCATCTCTGCTGCACTAATAAGCTATACTGCTCTCAGCACTTGTATTGAAGCTACAGATTACTTTTGGGGCATGGTAAGTCTAAGGCATATGAACTGCATGCCATTGTGGGGGCCCATAGAATGTCTGCAGCAACTGTGGTAATAATTTAGGTGTTACCAATTCTGAATCCTAGCGAGATTATTAGACACTTTTTTGACATTTAGGACTAGAAAACTAAACAGTGAGGAACTTGGGTGTGCAGCTAACAATTACTAGTCTGACTCTGTCAGATGTAATGCCAGAAAGGCATCCAGCATTCTTAGAATATTTCTGAGACAGTGAATAAGTGAATAGTTCCCCTTATAACATTTGAGTGGGTATTCATATTTCTTTTAAAAGTCTTGTTGTTTTTCATTCATGTTTATCTGGTCTTTCTTCACTAGGTTGAAAAGCTTTTCAGTACTGTGTTTTCTTTCTATGAAAGTAGTCAAGTCAGTTTGCTCCGAGGCTTTCTGCAATATACTTTCCCCCAATATTTGGGGTTTTTTTTCTCAATACTATCTTTTCAACACTCTATATTGCTACCTGTTGCACCAAAACTACTTTATAAACTAAAGTTTATACTTCTTCACAAAACAAATTTTAACAGAGTAGTATCTGCCTGCTAAACAGCACATTTCTCCTCTGTGACTGTGATGCTGCCAACCTAGCTTCTTCTACCTGGCTTTGTAGACTACTCTGCAGCATAAGTAACATTCCCCCCACCTGCCATTTCTGTGCTGCATAAGTATTTCACAGAGGGTTGTTGTGGAGGATCTGTTTTAAATTTATTCCTTTATTTTGTGGGGAGGGCAGGGGAGGGAATTCTGAATCACTATGCCAGGTGATCAGTAGGTAATCATTAAGATAATTTTTATTTTTATTCTAGTCAAAGAAAAAAAAGAAATCAAAGGGAGATTCCAAAACGGTTCAGGATTCATCTCGTCAGGATGGAAAGGAAGTTGATGAAGGTACTGAACACAAATATACACAAAATGCAAACATTATGGTTTAAATGCTGCTTAAGATTTACTTGTGTTTGGTTCATGAAGAAACATAAGAAACTCACAACTCCCTAGTCACATATTATATCTGGAAGTTTGATATTTGAAACAACAGTATTTACTAACTTCAACTGTTTTTTTTTTAAAGTAATCTTATAAAAACTGAGAAATTATGGATAGTAGGGTGCTTATGTTACTCATGTTTTGCTCTGTGAAGCCACGTATTATCACAGAAAAACTTACCTTTGGCCATTTGTTAGTGTTTTCAAACTAAGGTTGAAGCTGACTGGTTAAACTGCCCTCAGATTTCTCTTTGATGTGATACAAACTTAAAATCTTTCCTTCCTCTCTGACTTAGTGATATTTTCATTTAGGAGCTTGGGAAACAAAAATCAGTAACAGAGAGAAGCGTCAGCAGCGTAAGCGAGACAAAGTGCTGAATGATGGTGGCTCAGGAGAATCAAATCTCCAGGGTGTAGAAAACACAGTTACTGTATCCATTGAACAGCTGATGCCTACATCATCACTTCCAGTTGGTCTCAGAAAAAATAAAGGTATGATGCTTGGTAGGTCTGTGAATGTGTCCTAGAAAGATAACTTTACTTGAATGCTTAACTAGTGATTCTGTTTTGCATGTATGTTAGGTGTATTTGGAGGTGAAACTCCTGAAGAAATTATTTCAAGCTGTGTAAAAGTACTTTCTCATTCTGCAAAACTCCCCCTTTTCTAGCCATAATTTTGGGGAAGCTCAGGAGAGTGTTTTGGACCAAGTGGTAAGACACTGGACTCCATCCACACTGGTGCATTGTCAGTTGCTGCACAGCTACATAGGCCTCTCCCTGTTCTTTCACTTGTGCTCTGTGACTCTGCCCTTTGTTTCTAGAAACTTCAAAGGCATCCTCAGCACTGCTGCAGACAGCACCAACTCCTTAACTTTTTGAGTACTTCCTTGTGGGAAGGTTATGCCCCTGAAATTCTCTTAAAATATCATTCACTGCTTAACATGTAGGCATTTTTTTCCAATGTAGATTTATTAAAATCCTGTACTAAAGCTCTTCATAATGGTAAGGCATATGTGGCTGAGATTTGGTAGTAATTGCTGTAGCTGAAGATTCAGTAGATATGGCTGCTGCTGCTGTTGGAGAACAGAAGGATTGCATGGGCTGGTTTAAAGTGTGTGTAGGCACAGGAATTCATATTTGGGTAAAACTGAGAAATAGGTGCTTTAATTAAATGAAACTTGATGGTCTAGCAAAGTGGCAAAAAGACTGAGTCTGACAACTGTCTGGTATCTTGGAACCATTTATTGAAATTTGTATTCCTCATCCTCCTGTTTCATTGACACTCATTTTCACCTTGACTGAGTGCATAATTGTTGCCCTGAGGACTAGATCAGTTGTTTCCTGTTGCCCTTTTTTTTCCCGTCCATTTACACAGTGCTTCAAGAAATGGTAGTTCCAGCTATCTCTATGCCCTGGTGCTAGTTATAACTACTGTAACCTCTCCAGTCAGAATCCTTTATGTATCGTAATTTTTTTTTGTATCTTGTGTGTCACCTTGTACAAAATTAATCCAAAAAGAATTCAGCTGTATCTAGTGTTTTCATGGTAAGGTAGAAGTTAGAAATCGTTACAGGTCTGAAATACTTAGATCCACTCTTTGCTTGTTAATGACAACCTTTAATGAATCTTTTAGATTTATGCTCTTCGTTCATTGGAAAAGTAGCTAAAGTTCTTTGAAATCTGCAGTTACTTGGTATATAGGTTCTAAGTCACTTAGAGTGCATTCTGTCTGCAACATAAACACAAACAATAAAAAATAGAGCATTTTAATTTCATCCTTGAGCGTTGTGGAGTTGTCTTAATTTACTATGAGGTACTAATATAGTCTTTTCTTAAAGCATTAGTAGTGGATTGTTAGAAGCTTTGTACGTGTTGCTGTTAGAAAAGTTTCATCTCACTTTGTTTCCTCTTACTTCTTAATCAGGTGATGTACTTTTGAATGCACAGATTAACAGTTCTAAACCTGCAAAGGGGGAGTCATCAGTTCCACAAGGTAAAAAGTTTTTGTTATTGGACATCATAAGTAACTAGAGAAGTATTTTAAGTAGTGAAAACAGCAACTGTCAGTGCAGGATTTTGAGTTACTGACATGGAACTTTACTGTACACCTGGCTCTTTTGGCTATGCAAATGTTATAGTTCTAAATTCCAGTTATTTCTGAAGAAGTTGAAAACAGTCTGTGTTACCTGTAGAAATACGATTCAGTATTTCAAATTTTCAGACAGATTACCTATTCTAAAAAAAAATATGTACAGAGCATAATTATTTATTATATAATTATTTTCAGCAGAGCTTAAAATTCTTTATGCTAGCTCTTCAGACTTACTCATTTGTGTTAATTAATTATTTGCTGTAAGAAAACCCTGGTACAGATAACTGCAAAGAGCTCCAAGGGCTCTCTGCAAAGAATTACAAGTCCTGATTATTTACACTTGTTTCAGGTTGAATATGCAAGTTATTCAGTGCTTTACATTCTCCTTTGAGATGCATGAATTTATTAGTTTTGAAAGTCCTCACATATAAATACGTGTTTATAAAAAGAATATACTTGACCTATGTCATACACATAGCTTAAAATATTTGACTAGTGAATCTTAGCAGTTTTCTAACAGCAGATACTGTTAGAATAATACTTGAAGTGAATTAGTTTGACATAATGAAATCAAGGTGGTTGTTACTTACAACATGAGGTGTGTTGCTTTAATCAGAAGTGTAAATAAGCAAGTCAGGAAATGAGTTATTAAAAGCATACACATCCAGAAAGTAAATCCCTTTCTGCTTGTTTTTGAGAGCTTCACTCTCAAATGTTGCAGAGAAGGAGGGAGCTGTATTCTTCAGAAATAATGGGAGGACAGGAGGCAATAATCTAGTTTCAGTAAGGGGAAATTGACAGGTCATGACAAACAAATCTCTTCATGAGATAGTTCAAAGCATCTCTGGGCAATCAGCCTTTATGGTTTCCAGAACTTCAATAACATAGTATAACTTTGAAGTTAGATGTGCATTGAACAGAAGGTGGGACTAGGTGACTTTGAGAGATGCTTTTTAATCTTAAGTTTTCTGTGATTCATTGAAAACTGGCTGGTCATTTAGAAGTTCAAGTTTTTGACAAGACAGTAGTATAATAAACAGAGAATAATCAAGCTCCTGCTTCAGGACCTCAGCTGCCTTTTTTCAAAGTTGCAAAAAGGTTTTTCTACCAGCTGCAGTTTGGTTTCTGTCTCTCCTTTTGTTGCCTTTCCCTAAGACTTCATATTAGGCTAGGAGGACATTGACTGACAGGAGCAATGCTTGTGCTGTAGAGAAAGGGCAATGTTTTTTGTACAGCAGTGGTGACCTTAGGGCTGTCTGTGTTCGGAATTGATTTGTCTGAGAAAATCTAGGCATATCTCACCTAATTAATTATATGTCAGTGAGGCCAGCTTGAATTGGGCATGTTCATGCTGCCTGAGTTACAAGTTCATTTGAAAAATGAAATGTTTGGTCTGTATTTTTTGTTGTCATATGACACTGACTTGTGTGTGAGGGTTTGGCTTACTTTTAATTGTTACACTTCTAATATGCAAATATTTCTTAACTGCTTGTAGAAGAAAAGTTTTTCTGTTTTTTTCCACTGCATATTTAAAAAGAGAAAGGGGATTTGAAATACAAAGCAGTTTGAGAAAGGTTTGTGATATATTGGCAGTGAGGCTGGGTACACTAGCCCTTATATTTTAGAGGGACATAAATTTAAAAAACTTCTATTGTCTGACTTCTCAAAGTATATGTTAAACTTGCAGCAGCTAGTAATTTCTCATCAGGGTAACATGTAACAGACTCTTGCAGGGTTGTGGTCTTTTACTTTAGTGTAACATGAAATACCTTACTTACAAATTGAGTGTTACTATGATTTTTATCTCTTACTGTGAGGGACAATATGTTCAGTTTGATATCTGTGCTCTTTGTAAATCCTGTGTAGTGTTTGGGAAGTATTTTCTAATACTTGGTAATTTCATCTACATCCTGCTTGGAGAGCTGCTGCATGCAGTTATGAAACAGAAAATATTCTCAGTTTAGTGCATGGGCTTTTCCACAAGTCATCCCCATACTCTCTAAGAGAAATTAGCTGACAGTGTTGAAAGTACCCTCCCCACCCTTCTGCTAATCTAGAGGCACCAGTTCACCAATACATCAACCCTGTGAAGAAAGGGATGAGGAAATAGAATGCAGTTGGTGCTGTTTTTTCCTCCCTCTTCAAGTTAGTAGACAGATGGTGCGTATCATCTGAACTGGAAAATCAGCTGAGACAGAGCAGCAGCCCTCTCTGTATCACGCTGGTGTAGCAAAGCTGCTGTTCATTCAGGGGTTTTTTATTAAGTGAATGTGCATATAAGTGATATTTTAGTTCTTCATCCAGTTCTTATTTTAAATAATCCTTTTATTATTGTTATATTTAAGTTTCTTCAGGATTGAGTGAAAGCCATACAGTAAATGGAGGAAGCTGGAATGAGAAGTCTGTAAAAATCTCCTCACAGATTGGTGTAGGGGAGGAGAAATGGACATCTGTTCCTTCAACTGCAGCTGGGAAGAGGAAGACTGAGACATTGGCTTGGGGCCAAGACACTGGAGATGCTAATGGAAATGGAAAGGACTGGGGTGTAAGCCTGGTGGGCAGGCCCTGGAAAGAGCGTTCTTTGTTCACTCCTATTGGTAAGCTATTTCCAAGAACTTGCCTCACATAAGCATTTTTACATAAATGTATTCTTTAGTAGTGGATCTCTGAAATCCTATTATGTTTATATATTAAAAAAATCTTGACATGGTATAGTGAAATGCAAGCTGAGCAGTTTCCATTTACTGTAAGTTCTGATGGCTTAGCATCTATGCCTCTGTGTACAGTTAAACTGGGTTTTTTGAGTTTATCTGACATAAAATTATTTCTGTGAAGGAATGCAGTGTTATATATCATTTTCATAAAGTTCTGAAGATGATCACTAAGCCATTTTAAAGCATAATTTCTTTTAAATAATGTCTTAAAACCCAGGCTGTAAATCTATTCTGTTGGTCCAACATAATCAAATTAACTGTCTGTGGTTTTGGCAGGTGTTTTTTTAGGCCCTAGGCATAAACATTGTTCAACTCTGTGACACTTAGTGTTGCACTGTTTTTCTCATTAGAAACTGATTTTTAGTGCTCAGTACAATTTTCTGCCTTTTTTACTTGTGCTGTCCATAGTAATAACGGAGAAGAGATTTCTCGATTTCTCTCTGGGCAACAATCATCAGCTTATTAGTAAGTGCTGTAACCTGGCCCTTCCCACTGTTCAGTCTAACTAATCCTCATCTCTTCTGGAAGGCAGTGTTCCCTTGTAGTCAGCAGTGTTACTTCAGTCTTGTCGCGTCTTAACCCCAGCCAGCAGCCAAGTTCCATCCAACTGCTCACTCACTCTCCCACCAGCAGAATGAGAGGGACAATCGGAAGGAGAAAAGCTGGCAGACCAGTGGGTTGACATAAGGACAGTTTAATAGGGAAGGCAAAACCAGTGCATGCAATCAAAGCAAAAAAATAATTCTCTACTTCCCACAGGCTGGCGAATGTCAGTCATCTTCAGGAGAGCAGGGCTCCATCATGTGTAATGGTGACTTGTGAAGACAAACACCATAACTCCAAATGTCCCTCTCTTCCCTCCTGCTTCCTCTGACTTACATACTGAGCATGATGACACATAGTAGGGAATATTCCTTTGGCCAGTTGTGGTCACCTGTCTGGGCTGTGTCTCTTCAATGTCTTGTTGGGAAGACAAACCCCAGCTGCCTTACTGTCATTGATACAAGAAGTGGGAAAGACCTTGACTCTTCTGTGAGCTCTGCTCAGCAACATCCCTGTATTACAAACCCTGTTTTCAGCATAAATCCAAAACACAACCTTACCCCAGCCATAATCTGCTAGAAGAAATCTAGACCTTCTTTTATTTCTCTGGCATATTTTGAAATAGTTACCGAGGCTAGATCTGATATACCCTTGGAAGCTTTACCACTGCCAAGTAGAAGTAAAGGGCTTTTTTCATGTTCTGCTAGATGTGTTCTGCTGTGTATTCTAATAGGCAGTTTGTAGTGCTGTTTTTGTTGGTTTTATTACTGAGGATACATCATGTCTACCAAGCTGATTTGCTTCTGGTAAAAAGAATAATTTCATGGAGAGCAGTGAAAGTCTTTCATGATGATTAATGCTTTCAATACTGTTGCTCACAGTGTTGTATACAAACTAGAACAGGTGAAAAACTGGTCAGGCCCAAGGTAATGGTCAGTAAGTCCTACTTTCCCTGGAGGCTGATGACAAAGGGAATGTCACAGGGCTGTACTTAGAATTGAACTGTTTATCATCTTTAAAGTGATCTGGAGGTGGCAACCGTGTCATTCAAATCCAGTTTCCAGATTATGTCAAGCTTAAATGTGGGGGCAGGAATCAGTTCAAACAATCCAGGTCAGGGATCCCATCCAGAAGAACCTAAACCTGATGGGAGTAATTTGCCCACAAGAACCTGAGGAATTCAGTGAGGATAAATGTCAGGTGCTGAATCTGGGTTGGAAGCAGCCCTGGCTGGATATTGACTGCCTGGATTGCAGCTTTGTGGATAAAAGGTCTTAGTGGGCACCAAGTTGGATGTGATCCAACCGTAGACCCCAGCAGCAAAGGACACCAACAGTATGCTGGGATGCATTAACACAGGAGTCAGTAAATTGGGAGGTAGCAATCGTCTGCTTTTTGGACAACACCTGGAATACCTGTTCAGTTTTTAGCCCCTTTTTCCCCAGTTAAGTAAATGTAATTCTAAGTAAAAGCCACTAGTTTCTATTGGCTATTTCTGCTTATTTTCTGCCTTACATATAACAGTCTAGTATGTCTTCATTTTTAAGCAGTATCTCCTATTTGTCAAAAATTGTTCTGAATTTTATTCCATTCTTTAACATATATATAATATACTCCTAGCTGTGTTCCATCTACATGTACTTTTCAAAACTTAATGATTGTAGTAATGGGAGGAATAATTGTATGGGGCTCGAAAAACAGTTGACTTCTCTTGTGAGAAGCTTTTATATAGAAAAGGCTGTAAAGGGAAGATGGTCTTACAAAGTTTGAAAATTGTTTCAAACTGTGTGTTCATAAAGTCTCATCTCTATCAGCACTTAGTACTGCCCTCAGTTGTATGAAATGTTATGGCTGCACTAGCCAGTGCTTTTCTGATCTGTTTCATAATTAAATAGCTGAATTTTCAACATTGCCAACAGTGTGTGACAGTTTTTTGTTTTTTTTTTTCTCCCCTTCCCCCACAGCTGCTTGGAATGTGGATACAAGGATTAATACCTCTGAACAGAATACTACTTCTTTCTCTTCATTTGGATTAACTCCTGGAGTTTCTGGTATGTGTGCCTTTCCAAAGATTTTTCCACTGTCTTCTACTCCACCAGGTGGAATAGAGTTTGCCAAGTGTTACTAATATGCATTTTCTCATTTTTCTTTGAAAATAGTACTGCAAAGAGGTGGAAGACTCTTCAAAAGCTATTTTGTTATGCTGAAATTTTGCAGTAAAGTAACTGTTTCAAGTGCATAATCAAAAGCTAGATCAATCACAGAATATTAGTTAGAAGGTTGGAACTAGAAGGGGTTGGAATGAGGTGAACTTTAAGGTATATTCTAACCCAAATCATTCTCTGATTCTGTGACTTCTTATTTATCTGTATAAATCTATTTAGACTGTGTTAAGTCTAAATAATGGGCATATGAGATTGCTGAGTGTTGCGATGTCTGAATTTAGAGATCTGAAGACTTCTTTCTAGGAAAGCCCATTTACCCGTCTTCTGAGGTTTGTTATTTGATAATTGAGTTTTTTCCCCATCAAGGAGCTGAATCACTACTTTGAAAAAATGTTCCAGAGGCAGGATATGAAGTCTTGAGTCTTTTCTCTGTATGACAGATAGAAATGCTGAAGCTCTTTTTCTTTTTTTTTTGAGGGGTTGTGTGCGATAGAGTACAAATCTGTCTTCATAATAAATCTTGCGTGTTAAACAACTAACTTAAGTCCCACAATGATTTATTATACAATAAAGGGATCATATGTCAGGTTTTCTGCTCTTGCCATGAGGTTGGCATGGTAGTTTCTTTCAGAAGTAACTGGCCAAGTGCTTATGCACTTCAGCTATATTTACTTGTATTGCAGTTTACAGGCTTTCAACTGTTGAACTTAGTGTCCAGCACCTTAATTGTACAGAGGGTTTTAATTAAAAAAAAACAAAAAAAAATCCCAAGCAGCCACCTTACTCCAAGTTCAGTCTCTAAGCTAAAACTTATGAGAGTTTATTAAATAAAGTAGGATGGCACACTGAGCTGAGATTCATTTGCAATACCACCATTTCAACTTAAAGAGAAATATGAAATAGTGAAGTATATTAGTTTTCTTTGATGCACCTTAGCCAGTGATGTTGTAATATAAAGTGACCACAATAGAAATGAGATGTCCATGTTTCTGTCATCTGAGGTATCTTCTGCAGAGGTGTATGTAAAATAGAGACCCAGGTTATATTTAAACTGAATTTCAGAAGTTTCATCATACAGTAAAATATTAATTTATATAAATCTTAAAATTAGTTTTTGTTTGTTTTACTTTTTTTATGAAATGGTTTCATTTGTTGTTTATTTTTCTGAAAACAGTTATGTTAGATGTGTAAAAGCTGTTATCATGACTGGAATTGGTCTTACTGTTGTTTGTCCTGCTGCGTTTATGTTCTTGAAACCTTTTCTTTAAATGAGAATTGGATTATTAGTAATACATAATTTGTTTGATGTTCAATGTATTTAATGAAGTTTCTTCCTAATGATCTTTTCTTTTAAGCTTCTCCCTGTAAGAGATCTTACTGATATAGGGTAACAATTTTATTACCCTTAAAATATCATTGTGTTTTTCAGTTTGAGGAGACTGCTTTTATTCACCCTTATCTCTTTTTGTGTTCTTCTCATGACTTTATTTCATCTTCTTTCTTCAGCTTCCTTGTTTTCTGAATATACCTTATGCACAAGGGCCTACTAGTTTTCCTGTCTTCTTAAATCTGATGTTTTTCTTTGAGCCTTTTGCCTTCCTTTCCTACTTTGGTTGGACTTCTTTCCCCACGAAAACTTCAGGGAGCTTGCTAACTTACAAGTACAACTTTATTTGTTCCCTTTCAGGTTCCAACAGTGAATCAGTTTCTCAGGCTGGTACTTCTGATTTTCAGTGGGATTTAAGTCATGCTCAACCCCCTGTTGATGACGAATGGTCTGGGTTAAGTATGTTCCTCTAAAATGTTCATTAACAAAATGTCAATTACTCTTAAAGTGTAGTTATTTATATTAGCTACTGGCATTGGACTGTGGTGGGTATCTGAGGAAAAACCTGAAATGTTTGACTTTTGTAAGCTAATGGATAGTTAGAAGGAATTAGAAGTATTTTGGTAAATTCTGATAGAAAATGGGTAATTTTTAGGAAAATATTTGGATATTCAAACTCAGAAGTGAAAGAGCTCATGCATTTTAAGGTAGAAAAATCTTTGTAATAAAACAGTCTTCCTGCAAGTGATGAGAAAAATCTACTGCAAGTCTGCAAAATATGTAATTAGTAGGATAGAGTTTGAGTCAGTTTGTTTCTGCATCTTTGTACCTTACTGGAAAGTTAAGGTGACATCAGAGTCTCATATTTAATCTTACATGCTTTCTCATTTAGCAAACATTAGGAAGTTCTTACACATATATAGGAAGCATATATTTCTATGGGCTAGAAATAACGGAAATTACTTGGGAGCTGTAGTAAATTTGGTGTTTACTCCCCACTTTCTCCTCTCTATTTATGAAAAAGCATATTGCACCTCATCAGAAATTGACCTGAGCAATTGTTCCAGAAGTTGACAAAAGCAGCTTTGCATGTTACCTTCTCTCATCTATCTGGAATAGACTGATGTAGTCCTTGACTCCACCACTGTTGACATGATTGCTCTGTTGCGAGATAATTTTGAAACTTAGCTTTTGTCTTTTATCTAGTTTCAGGATAAGGAGAGCACATTTCAGTTAATCATTTGAAAGTCATCTGTTTTATATTTTATCAAAACCATAATTGAGTCACGTATCTGAGCATAGAATGTTTATTGCTGAAGCTTCAGTTAATAGGATTTCAACATAGTTGTCAACTAAGAGTACACAAACAGAAGTGGGCAAATGCAAGTTTAGGCCAGTGATACACAGATACAACTGATACACAGATACAACCTACTGCTTTGTCAGGATCAGGAAAATTAAACTGAAGAAAATTAACTGTATGTACAAATACTACCAATTTTTATTATTTCTAAGAACAGATTTCTTTTCTTAAGCAAAGTTTTTTACTGAGAGGGCAGTACATAAACTGAAAGATGTTGAGTAATATTTTTTTTCCAAATCAATAAATTTTAGCATCTGAAGTAGGTGTCATTAAGATAATATTTTTATTAGTAAAGTTTCTAACTATTCTAAGTATTCTATTTAATCTTAAGATCTCTTAGTGTATTTTTGGCTTCATAATGTTTGCCAGTAAATTTAATTGGATTTATTACTGCTTTTTATTTTGATTTTATTTTCAGTTGTTTAAATTGACTCCCACTATAGTTTACATATCAAATTTGCCTGTTCTTTAATAGACTGGTAGAGAGAAATATTTTTGATGTTAATATAAATGAGAAATGAAAATGAAATCTTCTACGTGTTCTGTTTTAAAATCGGCTCACTGCAACTTTCTACTAAGTAGACGGTCTAAGTCTTCGTTCTTCCCTTCAGATATTTTTAATTTTTATGTCACTGACCCTTTAAACTTATCATTCCATCATAAATGAATAATAACAAAATAAAGTATGGACTTACGAGTATTAGAAAAGAACATTATTAAAAATGTCAATGTTAAGACTTTTGATTCAGTAAGATTTACAGTTTCAGATATATCAGTTGTAAAGGAATCTTACTAAGGTAAGATTGATCAGTGTTACAGTTCATCCTAGTTTTTTCACAAGCTAGAAAGAAAATACAGAGAGCAGCTTAAGATAGAGAACAACTCATAAATTTGTTCCTCTTCACATAGTTTAGAAAAATACCTTGAAGCAACTGCATCTAGCTAGCTGCTGCTGTGATTAGGCTCTGTAAAATCACTGTCATTACTTTAAAAAGTGCTCCACTCATTGATAAAAGTCTACCTTTTTTTCAGAAATACAGGAAATTGCTATTCATATCTTGATATCAAGAAGTGTATAATATATATGTCTAGGAGTTCTTTCATTTTTAAACTGGAAATGAGCACCTGTGGAGTAAGGCAATATTCCTGAAAAAACCTTTTAATCTTTGTAGATGGACTTTCTTCAGCTGATCCAAGCTCCGATTGGAATGCACCAGCAGAAGAGTGGGGAAACTGGGTAGATGAAGAAAAAATTGCTTCTGTTCCTCAGCGTGAAGAGAGATCTGATACTCAGAAGGTAAAAGGTGGTATTTTCTCCTGAGCTCAAAGACTTTGTCCTTACCACTGCCATTTCTTAAAGTAACTTGAAGGGTAATTATAAAGGTAATCTCTCATCATGGTTACACTGATAAGAGTAGCACGACTGTGTTTGCTCTGTACACAGAGAAGGAAAACACTGAATGTTATTGAGAAGAGAGAAATCACTTAGCTCCATGTTAAACCTTTCTGTCTTGTCATAATTATAAGGACTACATTATCAGCATATACTGGGAAGGTTTAGATCTGCTTTTATAAATCTTGCCAATAATTAATTCTCAGTATGAAAAATAGCACTTCCATGCCACTAGTGCCTGGTGCTCTCTTGCCTTTTCCATTCCCAATTCTTCTACCTGTATTACCAGATAGTATGTAAAGAATGTGGTCTTTTTAGAATGAATTGAACAGATAAGACTGTGTTCATTTCCAATAGTATATACAATTTCTTATAGCTATCAATTTATGTTTAGTCTATAGAAGGTATGTTTCATTGTCATTTTAAATGCTAAATACCTTCTGTTCCCGTATGAAGATCTCAGATAATGAAAGAGAAAAAGCGGAGCCAATTCTTCAGAGTTCTGCAAGTGGCAAATCCAAGAAAAAGAAGAAGAAAAAGAAGAAGCAGGGTGAAGAAGCTAACTCTCCTGCACAGGTAAAATCTGGATGGTTTAAAGGCAATTACATGGAATTCACAAAATTGCCTTATCTTTGGATATTAGCATCTTGAATAAAAAATATTTTTGGAAACTTAATTTCTTTATGGGATTGGGTTGTCTTAAATTGTTTCTCAAGAGTTAAAGTAATCCTGATTTTACTAATATTTCCTTAAGTGGTTGTATTCACAAGTTGAACTTGGGATAATTTTTAGTTTTGCTGAATTTTAGAAAACCACAAAATATATGGAAAGTATTTATCCTGAATTACTTATTTTCTATCCAGTCTGAATTCTATACTGTAGGGATGCTTCCAGGTAGAATTGTCCTCTGCATGAGCAGCTTTCTCCTCATGTCCTTTGAATGAGCTGCTTTGGTAAATATTGCTAGTTAGGAGGATGAAAGAAATTGAAATTTTCTGTTAAGCTGTCTTCAAGTACAATTGTGTGAGAATATAATTGCTTTCTGAAGTATTGTTTTAATCTGATTTATGTGAAATAACTGTCAATGCTTCAAACTCAGTTGGTGGAGCTACTCTGTGAGTCAGATTTCAATGAGGGAAAGAATATTTTCAAACTGAGGGTGGTTGGAGTTTTCTGTGTTACTTAAATAGCTTTTGAAGAATTGCATTGAAACAGATGTGTAAAATTAGCAAAAGCAGATTGCACTACACATGGCAATTGAATCATGTTTGATTAGATGAAACAAGTACTTTCCTAATGGGAGAAAGCTTTTAATAGCTCATGATCAGAATGCATCCTGCTTGTGTTTATTGTGACAGCCATTCATAGATTACATTCTTTACAAAATGACCAATGTTCAGAGGACTCTGACTAGATGAATTAGGGAGGGAAAGCAAAAACTTCAGTCATACTTGCTTTGGATTTGCTTTTATGGTTATCACATATTCAGTTTACTAAAAGTTCTGAAACATTAAATTCCTGTTACATGAAATTTTATTTTCAAGTTGTCTGTGTGGAGGTGGAGCTTGTGTTGATTCCCCTTTCCATTTCTTTTGAGGCAAATTCAGTCTGGGAGTGCTAGGCCTGCAGGGTTGTTTTTTTTTATTGAAATCTGGTCTCTGCTATGGCTCTAAGTATAAGTTAAGATTAGTAGGTTATGATTAACAGGCGTTCGTGAGTGTCCTACATGAATCTCGAGATCAGTGAAGGCATTCTGATTTTTTTTCCATTGCTTGTGAGCTGTCTTTTAAATTATATATGTCAAGTTCTACTTTCTATATTAACATAATCAGATCTGTTACTCAACTCAATGTTCTCCAACCATTCCAGTTTTGTTACTTCAGTTTACAAATAAGAACTTATCTGTATTAAATTTTTATGTGGAATTGGGAATTTTGCTTGATAGGAGCAGACTGAACTGCTAATACATCACAGAAGCTACCCTTGTTATAACAGTTAAGTAATTTAACTTGCTAGTCCTACTTCAAACTCATTTAAAATTTGTATATTTATCTTCTGAAAATTGAACATGTTCATTTATACATTTTCATCTTTTTCACTGATTATACTTAAATGTTCACGCTCATTTGTTGACTTCAGTGTTTGTAAAGGCAGTAGAAGCTAACTGAAGATCTTGGAGTAAGTCAGTATGTGTTCCTTCCTGTAAGCAATCAACAGACTTAGGCTATCTGACTGCATTTTCATAAGGAAATAAGGAACAGTGTTTCTAGTTTAAACTCGGAGACCTCTTCACAACCACAGGATTCTTCTAGTGCCACTAACAAGTGTAACTACTCTAATTCCACATTTAAAATGAGAACTTTCCACTTTAGATTGTCTAAGGAGTAAAGGTTGAGATTCTTGGATCCTTTGCATATATTTTTGATTTCTGTACTGAGGTTTACTTCACAGGCACTAAACTGGGTTGCAAAAATATTAAAGTGTATATGAGGATAGAAAAACAATACAGCTTACATTTTAAAACTTCTAACAAAGAACAGAACAGGGAGCAGTCAAGTGCCATTACAATACTTTTGCAAAGTGTTTTGAGTAAACTCATTTTAATTTCACATTCTTATAATTTAAAGGGAGTGTGAAGTGCAGTTCATTCTGAGATTGAGATTTTTGTTAGTGAATTGCATGAAGTGTCCTCCTTTCTGGGCTTTATTGCCTTCTATGGATATTTTTGTGTTTATACATTTTGAGTGTTAGCATAGGCTAGTATGAGCCCACTACGTCAGTTATTCTTTTTGATAGGTTTTCTGAGTTACAGAAGCTGATTATGGTGACAAAACTCATTCAAAGGGGAGAAGAGTCAGAACTTGACTGCAAACACAGACTCTTCTTTTTTCCCCTCCCACTCCCCTTTTTGTAGGATGCTGAAGAACTGGATAGAGAAGCTGGAGAGCAGTTTCAGGCGGATACCTCAAAAGTTCAAGCACAGCAGGAAAGAGCTTTTTCTTTGAAGACCATAAGTACTAGTGAACCAGCTAAGGTAGGGATGCAAAATTTGGTTTATGTTACAATTTGATTTGGAAGTGCTCAAGTCATTTGACACACTAATTTGTATAGATAAGGTTACAGCAAGAATACTGTTTCAGGCTGTATGTTTATGAATATAAAGGTAATTGAACAGTTGAATTTTAGGTAAAGGTCAGTTATGAGTTTTAAAAATTATGTCTACTCTGAAAAGGAGTATCTTCCAAATCAGTAGTCACTTTCTTTACTGGCATGTTACTTTCTTGTTTGAATAGTCAAGCAATGGTTTAAAACTTAGAAATGTAGAAACCTAAGAATTAATAGGTCTGAGCACAAGACTAGTGGCATATTCTACCGTTAAGTTGCAACAGAATGAAGTGTTACTAAGTTAATATATTGACTTAAATGCAGTCTAAAATTGATTTTGATAGCTGTACTGAGCTTAATGACAATAAGAAAAGGTTTTAATCAAACCAATTCACAGACTGTTTTCTTCAGCTCACAGTTGAAACATACTCTAGAGAATACAAATTCTCTTTCAGTCTTACTCCAAATAGCAGCTTTCTTAGATACTGCTACCCTATGAAGCATCACATTCTAGGAAAAATATTTAATCTATTTATCTAGGTAAAATATTTAGTATTTTTCGTGGCTTTGATTTTTTTGGTTTTTATTTCCATAAAGAGTGAACAACACTAGTGACACAGCAGTTTGGTACCAGAGAGTTTATGTCAGAATACTGAGTTTTTAATTTTTGCTAAGCATTAGTTTCATAAAACTAATGAGATCTTAAGTGAAACCATTAGAATGAAATCTTACAGAAGAGGCCGCAAGTCACAAAATAAAAAGTACAGAAGTATTTTTTTGGTTGAGAATGTCTTGAGAAGCACATTCAGACATACTTAAGGCTCACTCTAAATACATCAAAGTAGAGCCTTACTATAGTTATTTACTACAGCTGATTATTTTAGATCTGCTCAACCTTTAATCAAGGTTGGCAACAGCTGCCTGTTCTGTCTGACTAGTGTATTGTTAGGTTTTGTGGTGGCTTTTTTAAGCTGTGCTTGAAAAGATATCTGCCTGTGTATGCAAGTGGCTTTATTCCTGGAAGTGTGTTTGTTTTATTTAAGAGGCTTGAGCTGAAAATGTGTAGACAGAAAACTTGGATTGTGACATCAAGGTGGCAGGTTTCTGACTTCTAGAAGAAGGCGTAATAGTGCGTCCTGAAAGACTACAGCTTCTGCTGTTCAGAAATCTAAATTGATTTGAAAAATATCTACAGTTCTTTTCTTTTTCTCACAAGCTGTCAACACTGCCAAAATACAAGCTGAGCTATTAAAATCTTGGTTGAGTTGCTTTACCTGCTGGTCAAGTGTCACTGTCGTAACAAAACTGTAATACCAGTAGTTACCTGAATTGATTACCTTGCACTAGAAACTTTATGTCCTGCTTTTATTTTAGGAATCACAGTTTAAGTTCATTTATTTATGTAGCTGATGATTGCTAACTATAAGACAACATTAAAATTGGCTAAGCTTGGAATTCCTGTAGGATAGGACTTCATTTTATCAGCATGGTTGATGCATAAAAAATATTTGAGATTACTAATTTTTCAGTTGATTGAGAGAGATACTGCAATAATGGATATTAAAAAAACTTGCTTCTGTTGATGTGTTTGCACATCAAACTACTCATGAAAGGTTGCAGAAGTGCTATTTTAAATTCATGTGTTGTGTTTGTTCAGTTAAAGCTGTTTAATTTCTTGCTTAGTATGATACAATTAAGAAATTTTGTATCTTCTTTGCTCTCATGAATGTTCTGACTTAATTTTTGAGATGCTTACATTATAGTGATGAAATCACTACAAACTGGTGACTGTGATGTAGGATCTGTACGTCTGTGTCCAGGGATGTAGACTTCACTATCTGGTTTTCATAGTTCTTGGCTGTTGTCACACAACTACACCTATGATTTCTTAATACCATCTTATAGTTTGGGGTTTATTGCTTGTCTGAGACAATTTTAACTACAATAAGTGTTACACACTGGGAAACAGTTACATTTTGTCTCTGTAGCGGGAAGCCTTCAAAATCTGGATAATAAAAATGCTACTAGTACCTTTTACTCTGCAGTTATTTCTGCAGTAAGTTCCACTGAAATACTTGCTGACTACTCTTGCCAATATTTGTTATTCTATAAGCATACAGAGTGTTTTGAGCAGTTTATAGGAATGACTGGAGATGCTTTTTGTTTGATTTGTTTGGGGTTTCAGTTACCTGTTTGGTCCTATTTATCTTGCCTGTTTACCTTGCAACCAAATGAATATGTGTCACTGTTTTACATCTCTGTTGAATATTCTAGAATCTTTTTAGGGTCTTAGTGACTTAAGAGATTAGTCTTCCTTTCTTTGCATGTGCTGTATTTTAAGAATTAATGTCATTTATCTTTGCTTGTATGCAATTAAAATTTTTGGCACTAGATGGCAGTCATAGTATTACAGAACTCAATTTAAAATTAAGGATTTTAATATTGCCTTAATTTTTCAATGTCATCTTCTCAGCAGCTGTTAAGTATACTGCCAAAATAATACTATATAAGAGTTTTTACTTTTGTATTACTTAAAAACTTTTGGAAACGTATTTTTGTCTCAAACAGTCTGAGGAGGCTCCTTCACTTGCTGTTTCTACTGAGCCATCTGTAATTGTATCAGAGAGCAATTCTGACAAGATCGCTTCCCAAGTGCCACAGATGCTGCAAGAGACAGATGCTTCTAGTCCCAATATTAAGCAAAACAGTGTGCCTCCTCCGCAGAGTAAGTATCTCTCAGTGCAGTTAATTTGTCTGAAGTTAAAAGCACCTTGATATATTTATTTTCATTGTGAGGAAAAATAGGCTTCATACACTTGGATGACTGAAAATGTCTGTTGGGCTTGTCCAGTCCTTAACAGACATTTGGATATACTCATGAATGTCAGGACTGGAGCTCTGTGCTGTGACTGAGTTCTGCCAACACTGTTTGAAAGGACTGCATGCAAGTCTTCAGTGAAGAAAAGATGGTTACTGACATTGCAGTTGACAGAATTTTTAGCTACCAGAAACTTGGGAAAAAATACAAATAATTAAATTTTTAGCCTACTGAGATATTTTGATTTGTCAATTTAGCTCATTAGCATCTTTTTCCATATGTTTCCATGTAATCATAGAGGGAAACAATTGCTTGTTTGGGATTAGAAAGGTATTGGATGGTTTTTGGGTTTTTTTATACTCAAACAGCAAACAGATCAGGCTTAACTGCTGCAGGTATATTGTTTTTTGAAAGTATGCTGTGCCCAGAAACATCAAATGTACCCTCTGTTTTACTTGACAAAAGTGTACTCACAAGCATTTGAGCACTTGACAAAAGTTCTCACACAATAAAACCGGAAATCTAGAAGGGAAGTGAGGATGTGAGAGGTATTGCTTGAAAAAAAAAAAGGTTGTTTTTATTCAGATTTTTTAATAAAAAATAAACACTGACAATCCATAGTTAGTTACTGGCTTAGTGTTGAAGTACTAAATGAGTTTTTAATGACTGCAGAGGAAGCATGGTAACTTTATAGTTACAAAATCTCATTCAGCTGCATTAATTGGCTTCTTCATTTTGAATACATGAAACAGTGGAATATTTCAAGTCAGTGTATCAACTTAGAACTTTTTGTTCTGGTTCTAAAATGTGAAATCTTTTGTGATAGATTCATTCCTCAGCAATTGAAAGAACATCTCTTAGGTTCGGTGTGTACAACACTTAACATTTTTTACTGCTTTTGCCAGCCAGCATGTTTTAAGGCAATCTGTTTTATTAAGAACATAGTGCTTCTGTATTGAATTATGGATTCCATGTAAACACATCTTTACATAGTGCAGTACTTTTAAAAATATTCTTCTGACATGTCACATATGTAGTAGTTAAGAGCAGTGTAATCTGGTAAAAGTTAGCATTTAATGTCAGTTGTGTACATGTACATTATTTCTAGTAGGCCAGAAAATAACAATTACTCTACTGTAAAATACTGTATTTGCAAAATGAATTACCTTTGATGTGTATCACTCTAAGTATTTGTGGGGTAAAAATGTAGGATGAAATTGGCAAGCATTGTTTAGATATATTTCAAATTAAATTCTTTACATTTGAAGTGGATGAATAAAACTAGTTGATTGATTTCAATGACTTTGCAATATCACAGTGTGTATTATCCAGGGTTTTAGAAGCCAAATCTGTGTAAATGTTCTCAGTCCTAACACTATAATTATGTTTTGTTTTTTAGCAAAGTCTGAAGAAAGCTGGGAATCTCCCAAACAAGTTAAAAAGAAGAAAAAAGCAAGAAGGGAAACGTGAATTTCCTGAGATGGACATGTGTTGCTGAATATTGTCATGAAGATTATGCTGTTTATGCAATAATTTGTGAACATGTACAGAATTTTATATAGATTTCAAACAATTTTTAAAAACAGAACTGCTGTGAACACAAACATCTTTAAAAAGGAATCAAATGAAAGTAACTTTATGATATAGCAAACAGAACATGCTACATTTGAAAGACATTCTGAAGAATCTGTTTTTCCAACTTTTGGAGAGAGATCTTAATTAAAAAAAAACTGGTTTTACAACACAGTGCCCTGTTTACAACAGATTATACTCTCATCTACAGCTGCGGATAAAAGATTAATTTCAAGGAAGGGTTTTCTGTAAAAATTATTGTCTGTACAATAGTGGGTGTTTCTTGCCTCTCTTATGAGTGGTGCATTAGAAGCACAGAATGTCAACCATATGAATTTGTTTCATGCCTAAATCAAAGTGCTTTGATTAAATACATAATCTGCCATATCTTTACAGTAAGTTGGTTAGCAAATCTGCTAGCTATTGCAGGAATCACAAGTGCAAATCATTAACCATTTGTACAGTCAGACCTTCATGGTTTATTATATGAAGTTAACACAATAAAACTGCTTTGGGTTAAAAGTTTGAGAATGTGATTTGAAACTTGAGTATGGTTCATGAAATTATTTTTTATAATGTCTATTACCTTACTTGAATTATTGAAGATAACAGTATATTTTTAAGAATGCAGTAATGTGCATAAAATTGGTTTTCTTTCTCATTCCCTGCACTTCTTGGTTGATTCAGGATCCCATCTAAAAACTGTATTCTTTCAACTTCTAAACTCATGAAATGAACTGAAATCAAACTTTCCCTTCTTCTAACACTTGTTGGCTTACTGTACCCAATTCCCTTGTTTATATTACTAAAACTCTGAACAAAGCAAAGTGAATTTTTCACTCACAAATTATTTGGATTTCAAAGATCTGTTGGAGAACTGGCGTAGCTTCAGACAGCTTTAATTGACAAAAACAGTTATCAGGAACACATTTTTTTACTGCCTTAACCTGTAGGATGTAGAATGTGTCTAGACTTCTGGACAGGAGTTAGTGTTTTTATATTAAAAAAATAAAAAATTATGCAAGTAAAGCAGTTGTAAAATAAAGACCATTTCCCACTTGAAACTGTTAATTAAAATGGCATTGAAGATGTGTTGTCATTTTCAGGCACTGTAATGACGGGGTATTGAACTGGAGATGTGTTTGTGTCTGTAAGGTACAGGCTCAGCCATGTACACTGTAAATAGCCTTTACAAAAATTGGTTTGCTAAGGATGGTATTTAACATCAGCGGGTAAGTTCAGTTAAAGAGTCAGGATTCTTTTCAAATGATTGACTTCTGGTTTTGTGGCACAAACAGAATTGTTAACAGCTGTAACACATGGTACTGATCAACAGTTGTGTGCTCTTACTGTACTCAACTGCAGTTAGACAGTATTGCAAGGCAAGAGCAGATAATGCAGCAAGCTGGGTTTAATTGTACTGAAAATGCACCTGCTAATGGGGAGCTTTCCTAATAAAAGGATACTAACGTGCACAGGTGTTAATTCCTGTATATCAGGAACATCACACTCTAAATTGACCTGTTAAATTAAGCATATTGACAGTATTGATTTATTTACTGGGAGGGAGTAATGTTTAAGAGTGGTATTTGTCATGATTCACATAAATTTAGAACTGAAGTACAGCTTTTCAAAGAGTATCTTAAGGTAAACATGAAAAATAGGATATTACGAAGTCATGCGGAGTCCTTTGCACGTAAACAATATTATAATTTTACTTGTCTTCATAGTAAAGGTTTAAAAATACCCTTTGAATTCAGGTTTTTAATGTGTGTCTGAAATCTGTTTCCAGTCTGTGTTATGCTGTGAGCCTCTTTTATAGAAAATACAAAGATTTTATGTCATGAAAGAGGCTGCCCCCAAGGACTTTCACTGCATAAATTATTTTTTTTCCTCTTGAAAATAAAATTGGTGATATTTCTGAGTTAGTCGAATAGCTTGTCATTCTGGAAAAACTCATACTAGCTAAAACATAGGAACCCTGCTAACTAACTGCTACTGCTAAGCAGGGTCATATAAATACATAGCCTTCCTTTCAAAATGACATTACCTATTTAGCAGCACCTCTTACTGTTTTCTTAATGTGCAGTTTCAATGTCTTAGAAAGCAAAACTTGCTTTATTTTGACATTCATTTAAGAGGTAGTAACTATATCGTATTGTCTATAAATAGAAACTTGGTTATCTATGTACTGTCATGTTTCTATGATTCAAGCAGTGGTTAGTCTTAATGATACACTGAATCCAGACTTTGGTACTTGGATAGAACAAAAAACATAATTTTAAAGAAGCTTAATCATTTTTTTTCTTTTTTCTTTGGGTTTATTGTTTCTGTTGTTGAATGCATGGAATGGTTTCATAAATCCAATATGTTGTTTTTTTCTAAATACTCTGGAATTATTTGTATGTGTAATTTAAACTTGTGATGATGTGTAATTGGATAGTCATGGCATATTTTTATTTCTTTTGTGGGGAGGGAAAGGTGTACAGAATTCATATGTGCTTGTTACAAAGGTAACTGTGCATTAGTTTGGAGGGGGGTGAAAACTGTATTTCTGATGCCCTTTTAGAAGTCTAAAAAAAAGTGCAAGTGAAGAGCACTACTTTAATATTTACTAAGAAAGAATGTACATATTAAAAGCATTTCAAAATTTATAGAAATATTGCTAGTACTGTTGTGTTGTAACTGAATTGTATCTCATTTGAAACTGCCCTATTAATCGTTCCTAGCCATGAATAAGGCTTTTGAAAAGTGCAGCCATCAGAGTACATGGTTTAAGCAGACTTTCATCTATTGGTTGTTGTGCCTTTAACTCAACTAGGTTGCCAATCAAGATTTCAGCTGTTAAAAATTTCAGGTCTCAGACACTTGTACCCATGAGTCTCCTGCTGGTGACCAGTGAATAAAAATGAGCAGTTCTGGTTTTTCAGGCCAGTACTAAAAGATTTCTTCATTGTTCTGCTGTAACTGGAAGGAAAAAAATCCTGAAAATTTTAATTGCTTCTTAAAATACGCTGCTAAAAATACTGTTAAAATTCTGAGTAAATTACTTCATTTAAGAACAAAGAGCATCAGCCAAATGAACTGGGGGGTGGGGAAGAGCAGGAAGGGCGGCGTGACTGATCATTCTGAACTTGAAAGTAATGCAGCAAGATGATGGATTTTGCTTGCTGCAGGACTAACAGAACTGCTGTTAGTTTGGGTGGATGTTTGGAGCAAGATGGGATGATTTCTGTTTCTTCATGGGTGGGGGCTGGCAATTGTTGTTGCCTGTGTTTTGTATCATGTTATTAATGATTCATGGGTTGTTCCTGCTGAAACTTGGTTGAATTACTAAATTCTGTTTTCCGTAGTGGGGCCCTTCAGTTGAGGAAATTATTGAACTTCTGCTTTTTTAATTTCTGTTTGTACCGAGCTGAAGGTTTCTGGTTCACTGAAAATTGTTTTTTCAACTGAAACTGTGATGTCTTTAATGTTGGTGTATTCTGAAAAGTGCATTTAAAACTCCTAACATGAAACTCAGGGCTTCAGGAATTCATACAATACTCTAAAAAAGTGTGCTTAAGAACATCTGCAGCTATAAACAAACACATTTTCTGTCTTATTTGTAGCATTAGGTGATCCCTTAACTTGGCTCAGTATTTTTAATTCAGTCCATGGCAGAGTGTAAGTCATGGATCACTCAGAAACAGATTGCTACAATGAACTGAAAACTGACTAGTTATGAGGTGTTCCCTGTTTCCTCACAGATAGCAAGTCCTGTACTAAGTATTTCCACTTTAAAGTGATTCCTTATTTCAAATACCTGGTGTATAAAGTATAAATCAAATATGTTGTTACTGAGGTTCTGACAAAGGCTGCCAGTTTGTTTATCATGTTTTTCCTTGGCCAACCTTACCTATGCGGCTAACAAATAAAGCCATGCCTTGAGCTATGTCTGCAAACAAAGCTCCAGATGGGAGAGAATTCCTCTCTGATGTGATTCTGGAACTCGACTTGCTATCATGCAGCCAGGCCTTAATGTGTCTTTTGAAGAAGCATGGGACCTGGGAGACCAGTGCCTTTCTGAGCTGTAGCCAGTTAGCCAAAAGAGTAGGAGCTGTATCAAATGCTGTCCCTCTGCTGCTGAGGGGCTGAGTGGCTGGGCATGCATCTAAGGCCATGTGCAAGCTTTGCTTCTGCTCTCAGAAGTCTTCAAAGGTGCTGTGAAAGATCTGTAACATCACTTTTCTACCTGTTCACAGCAGCAGCTAGTGAATGGAAAATACCTGCAGCCATGTCTGAAATCACTGCACTGTTAATTTTTTTCAAGAAGGGACAGATTCCAGGAAAAGCTTCCCTGGAGGGTAAAGAAGCTAATGAGTGCTGGGACTTTTTCCAGAATGCTCTTCTGAAAGCACAGAAACAGTTCATCCCCTTCAAAGATAAGGGATGTAGGAGGAGCAAGAGTCCCCTTTGGCTTAACTGCGAGATTCTGAGCCTACTCAAAAGCAAAGCATATCAGAGATGGAAATGAGGATAAATACCCCCTGAGAACTATGTGGACATTGCCAGGGGGTGCAAAGATGCAGTTAGAAAAGAAAAAGCTCAACTCCATTTGAATTTGGCCAAGATGTCAAAAAATACAAGAAAGGATTCTTTGGGTACAGCGGCCGCAAGCAGAAACAGAAGGCAAATACTGTCCTATTGATAAACAAGAGAATTAGTCACTGGTAATGCTGAAAAGGCAGAGGCTCTCAACACTTCCTTCACCTCTCTCTGCACCAGCATTGGTGGGCCCCTGGCCTTGGGACCAAAAATCAGGCTGCTGGAAACACAGATCCAGCAGTGTCGGTGAAGGAAGAGTGGGGGGTGAGCTATTACAGGAGCTGACATTGCAAGCCTGCTCTCCATCATCTTTGGGAAGTTGTGGACTTCAGGGAATGGCAGAAGACTGAAAAAGGCTAATATACCCCCACCCACAAGAAAGGCTTAAAGGAGGATTTTAGGAATTTTAGGGAATTTTATGCCCATCAGTCTTGCTTCAGTCCCTGGGAAAATTTTGGAAGAAATTCTTTGGGTAGCTATCACAAGTCAGATGAGGCACAGGATTGGGAAAAGCCAACATAGATTGATTAAGGACAAATTGAGCTTGACAAACATGGTCACCCTGTGTGACAAAGTAAGCTGCTTGGTTGATGTGGGGTGGGTGGTGGACATTACGTCCTGGATTTCTCCAAGGCCTTCAGTCGGTTTTCCCACAGCCTCCCTCTGGAGAAACAGATGGGCTGCGGTGTGCATGAGTGCTCCATGTGGGAAAGGCTGAGAGGCAGCACCCAGAGGGTGCTGGTAAATGGCTCCTTTTCAAATGGGAGATGGCACAAGTGGGCCCCCACCAGGGACTGATGTTGGGCCCAGCACTGTTAAATATTCTCATACAGTGATCGGGAAGATGGGATCAAGTACACTTTGGAAGCAAGAGCCACCCTGCAGGAAGACTTGGATAGGCTGGAGAGTGGCTAACAAGAATCTGATGAAGTCCAGGAAAGGCAAGTGTAAAGTCTTGCACCTGGGTGTGCAGCACGGGCTGGGATCTACCCAGCTCAGGAGCATCTCTGTGGAAAGGGATCTGGGCATCCAGGTGAACAATCAGAGCAATATGAGCAAACAGTGGTGTGCTGGCAAAGAAAGACAATGGAATGCTGGGCTGCATCCACAAGGGCATCACCAGCAGAGATCAAGAAGCCATTGTCCCACACTGCTCAGTGCTTATCAGGCCACACTGGAATTCTGTGCTCAGTTTTGGTCCCTGCTGTGCAGAAAAGATGTGGACAGGCTGGAGAAGGTCCAGAGAAGAGCCATAGACTGGGAAATATGTCACAGGGAAAAAGGCTGAGAGAACTGGGTTTGTTCAGCCTTGAGAAAAGAAGGCTTAAGGGAGAGCTTATCACCATGTTCCACTATTTAAAGTGAAGATGGAGACTCCCTTTTTACAAGAAGTCACATGGAAAAGACAAAGGATAATGGGTACAAGTTTTTCCTGAAGAGGTTCCAATTGGATACATGGGAAAATTTTTTCACAAAGGGAACAATCAGCCATGGGAATAATCTTCCTGGGGAAGTTGTGGATTTCCCCAGCATTGGAGACTTTTGAGATCTGGCTGAAAAGATTGTGATTTGGGGTTTTTTCCTGTGGTATACATAAAATGCATCTCAAAAATTGTATTTCTATCAATCAAATTCTTCAGTTATCAAGGTGATTTTCTCCAGAAGTTTGAGACTTTGACAGGTCCATGTATTTTTCAAAGATTTTACTGCTTTAGGTTACTGCAGTGTTAAACAATATCCTTTTCATAACCACTACCGTGTGGTTTCTCAATTACGGAAGAATGTAATCCATCAGTGATAGTGTGAGGTGGAATAAAACTTATCAATTCACTGATAAAAAAGGTCTTGGCCCAACTGAGTTTTGTCAGGATCAGTTTAGGACAGGCCAGCTGCCTCTGGTGCCTGTTTCTAGTTGTAAGTTACAACTTAGTTGTAAGTCACCCTGCTGTGTCAGCATCTTCATTTAACTTTTGGAGTATGTTGTTCCAGATTTGTGCCTTAGCTACACTGCCCTTTAGCTTGGCTACAAAGTTAAAGCCTTTCAATTGCTTTGAAGCTTTTTCAGGTTAAACTCTGTTTCCGTGGTGACTCTTGCAGAGCAGTGGCCAACACCCAGCAGCAGCAAGGCAGCCCACCCTCACCCTTCCTGCCCTGCCCCTCTGACTCACCCCCAGCAGGGACAAAGGTAGCTGTTAAATCAGGTGAGGGCTGTGCTGATACTTGAAAGTTATTCTTACTTCAGCTGGCTCTCCGGTATTCCTGATGTAAGTCAAGTCTGTGGCCTGTGTAGAGTAGGGTTAATATTGGTGTTGCATTAAGTATGAGACTCACACAATTGTATTCAACAGTTGAGGGTCCACCTTGGTAGATACTGTCTGTCACCATCATGCCTGCCTGGTCATTTTTAAAACACTTGAAAATCTTAATCAGTGGATATTTCCAATATTTTCTCCATTTTCGTTGGAATTCTTTTCTGCATTTTCCAAGGATGGAGGTTCAAGCAGCAGTTTGCTTTGAATAAATGTATTTATTTAACTAAACAAACAAACAAACAAAAAAAAAAAAAAAGGAAAACCTGTCTTTTTTAATAAACAACAAAAAAAATAATGTTACTTGGACTTGACCTTCATATTGAACATTTTTGAACAGTAGTACTAGTAGTAAGAAGTATTTAAGTGCTTTTCTGGAGTGGGCTCAGCACTTGATAGAATTGAGCTGGCAGATCAATACTGTGCTATTTTATATTCATATACTACAGACATGCAGTTCAAAGTCATCCAACTCACGCAGCCTGCTGAGGAACTTCTTTGTGATGTTTTAGAAGCATGTCTTTTTCTGTGAGCCTTTAGCAGGCATGCAGAACAGAACATTTAGTGGCTGTTTTTGCAATGATTAAAACAATTTTAACTCATACTACCTTGAATAGAAAAAATATTTTATAGAGATGCATAGTTGAAAGGTTCCAAAGCCTGACACAGGTGACTGAGGCAGGTTTTACATACCCAAAGATTGCCATATGTTTTGGATTTCTGCAATCACATCATGTGAATGTTAAACTATGGTCAAACCTAGTCACAAGTCATATGTGTCACATTAGAAAATAACATTTTGTCTGTTTCACTTTGAGGCAGAACATCAGTTGTGCAGCACAAGATCATTATGGGAAAGCAGGATTGCAAGTGCTTCACTTTACATTAACAATTCCATCTCTAAAAATCTTGAATTTGCATTTGTATGCTGCTGGAATTTGTGCTGCCAGAGAGCATTGGGCTGGAACACATTTTCTTATGTGAACACTTAAAGTAATGTTAACATCTCTTGAGAGCACCACACGTTATCTCCACACAGTGTTTCACTT